ATACTGATAATCAATAAAAATAACTTACAATCTAAATTATTATAAAAAATTTAGTTGACTTTAAATTACAGTAACAAAAGTAATTAAATATTAATAATCAATAAAAAACTAACTTACCAGCTAATAAAATTTATTTTTTTAAATAATAAAATTGGTTGACTTTAAATTACAGTAATAAGTATAATTAAATACTGATAATCTAATAAAATAACTTACAAGCTAATAAAATTTATTTTTTTAAATAAAAAAATTTAGTTAATTTTAAATTACAGTAACAAGTATAATTAATACTGATAATCTATAAAAATAACTTACGAGCTAATAAAATTTATTTTTTAAAATAAAAAATTTAGTTGACTTTAAATTATAGTAATAAGTATAATTAAGATAATCAATAAAAATAACTTACTTCCTAATAATTTTTTTTTTAAAAATAAAATATTTAGTTGACTTTAAATTATAGTAACAAGTATAATTAAATACTGATAATCAATAAAAATAACTAACGCTCTAATAAAATTTATTTTTTTAAATAGAAAAATTGTTGGGTTTAAATATAGTAAAAGTATAATTAAATACTAATAATTAATATAAAGAACTTACGAACTGTAATTTTAAATTTTTAATTAAATAAAAATTTAGCTAAGTTTAAATTATAATAAAAAAGTATAATTAAACAATAAAATAACTTACATTCTATATTTATTATTCAAATAAAAAATTTAGTTAACTTTCAATTAATATTAAATACTGCTGATAATTTTAATTACGGGCTATTATATTATTAATTATTAATATTATTTGTTAAAATTTAATTGAATGAGTTTAAATTAGATAATCAATAAAAATGATTTTTGAGGTAAAATATAATTAAAGCAAATGGATTTACCTTTTAATTCTTCTAATATTAGAAGCCATTAATGTATTGCAAATTTAAATTTTTTTGGATATTTGTCTTTTGAAAAGAAAATACATTAAATACCGTCATTATTATCAGACATTGCTACTAAAATCTAAGTGAAAAATTTAAAGAGAGAGTTTTCATGTATTCAATCAAAGCTGTCATACAATAATATTATGCACTCGAACAATGGCATTCCATTTGATCGGCGATCATATGATTAACCAAACTTCCGAAAGTGGAAGGAAAAAAATTATAATTGCTACGACCCGCAGTGATACAACGCGAATAGAAAAGACAAAAATAATTAATGAAAAAATAAAATCAAAAAAAAACTTACCTATGCATTCATTTAACCTAAAAGAAATCGCTAAAAAAGAGAATCAAAAAAAGAAAACTTACCGATGCGGCCCGATGAATGGTACAAGCTTTTCAGCATTCTTTTCACTTGCTAATTATTTATTTAATTTTTTGAATAGCTAATTCTTATAAATTATATTTATTAATTGCAACATTTTCTTAAAATACATTATATTAACATGGTCATTATTTACCGACTCGAATTACCTGGATATTATAGACGTAGAATAGCGCTTAATTTATACTTATTTTCCATGCCATGTAAAAAAGTTAATATTAACCGCAACTTCTGAAACATTATGCCAAAGTTAATATGTATGTTAGGATTCTTAGTTCTTATTTGTAAACTTTTTTAGTAAATCTAATGAACTAAAAGATGTTAATAAAAAAAACATCCTTATAAAAATCATTATTGTGAATTTCGTCTAGATTAGGAACTTTAATTATTTTCCTACTAAATAAACAATAGAAAGATTAATCAAATGATACAAATACAATATTATTTAATTCGATGAGTAATTGTTCAAGCTTTTTAGGATCGATTTTATTCGCATCAAATAAGAATATGGACGCTTTGCAGTATAAAGGGAGGAAACTACAAAATAAAATTTTGTTTTATTTGCTATATATGATTATTTTAGTAAAATAAGTCCAGGTATAACCCTATCTCAAAAAAAAAATTATTTTGGAGTTTACTTCCTTTCTACTACGAAGAGCCCATATTTAAAACTTACAAACGAAAACAAACAAACAGGCTGCCTTCAATCACTTTTTCGGAAACATGTCATCTTTGTTAGTGAATATTTTTCCATGTGGCTCTTTTGTACGAAGCAAACTCTCGCCACTATTCTTATGTTAATTTTACGCAGAGAAACATGCTACCAATGATTTTGGTAGAACTTTACCCGAACCTGCATCTCCGTTAATATAATATAAAAAAAATAGATTAAATTTACGCTCTGTTAAAAATTATAGATAAAGTTATTCAGCCTGATTTCATTATCCACCGTCAATTTTTGCCTTAGACTAAAGATATAATTGAAAATCTGTTAAATTCAAAGATCAGGGATAAAGCACATCTGAATTTTGTCACAAATACATACATATACTGAAAGAAATATATCATAACCAGAAACAGTTAACTTGCATTTTCTAACATAATCATTTTATTTTCATCCATTGAAATATTGCAAACTATCCGGCGTTTGAGGATCTTGTTACCATCTAAAACTCAAATCGTCGTAAAGTGTATTTATCACAATTAAAATCCTGAAATATGTATAATTACAATTGATTCTTAAGATGTAAAATCGTTAGTGATGTTATGTTGCTCAAACGGTTCGGTTTATGCTCCAAACTAGTAGAAACAGGTCTCGAATTACTTGAGATTCGGTTTAAACTAACCAGTTAAAACCTGATTTAAAACCTGGTTTAGACTATTATTTTTCTAATTTGGAAATATAACTATGTGTCTAGTAACTTCTGTTTTCTTGCTGACATATATTACAAGTAAAACAAGCTTTGTCCATATTCCAAAAGAGATATTGCCAAACTGGATGGTATAGCTTACTTTATTTACCAGTCGTTCATTTTCAACCATAGTTGTGTTGACTTGCGCATTGTCTGTCATTATTTAATTGATAATATTGCAATTATGTTATGCGAAGATTAGGAAAAGTACGCGATAAAAAGGTAGTTACGAAAACTATTAAATGAAGTCTCGGAGCGAGTTTATTTAAGCTTGGTCATTAAACTGGTTTATAATTGATCGACACAGTACAAACCGGGAACTAGCCGGTTTGAAACTAAGCATAGTAGTTTGAGCATAAACCCGTTTTAAACCGGTTTGGAATAAACCACCTAACATCTACCTCCTATGACCTAACATCCCTAACAATCGTTCAAAAAGAATCTTGTTTACATAAACGAGCTTTGATGATTTGTTTAATAATAATTTTTGTATATTATGTACGTCCCAATTTGGAACGCAACATTTCCAAGAAAAACTTCCGATGCGTACGCACCTCATATTAACATGCAAGTTAAAAATATTACAAGCCCGATGCGAGTATATATTCCATTTTTATGTACAGAATATTTGAAATTTATAATAAAAAGAAAGAATTGGAAACGAAACTTTAAATTATGATGACGTTTACAGTACATTCAATACTACTAAATAATACGTGGAAGTACAAACCATTAACCTGTTAGATTCGCAATACTAAAAAAAAATCATTTTCTCCATCCCGAATGAGTTAAGATCTAGCTAAGTTCTTTTATAAAGAAATCCCACCAGTAAGACTAATTTTTCTGCATGCATATCTTGAAGCCTAATTCCGAAGCAAGAATTAGCTTACGTATGTAGAAAATAGAAGACTACGATTTGAACTTACCATTATGATCTATATTAATTCTATAAACCTTGGAAATATTTCATGACCGTAAGAAATTGAGGCGATTATTAATCATTACATCCACTAAACGTCATTATTCAAAAATTAGCATGATTGTATAAGAAGATTTTCTTTTCGTGTAACTGCGCAAAATGCATGATTTCGGAAATCAGGTGATACAAGTTATACGATAATAAATATTAGATATTAAAGCGCAGAAAAATGCCCAGCATGCTTAATTGAAATATCTAAAAAAAACTGAAAGTCGTTTAACAATTTGGTGAAGTTGTTATGATACTCCTTTGTTTTTGATTTATTCATAAGTAGGAAATTTTATTTAAATTTTCATTTGGATTTTGTTTAATTTAAGCAAAGCAGATAAAAAAACTAACTAATGCAATTTGTAAGTTTATATCTCTACCCGTGATCTTGAACCAGACAAGTATGACAAGTATGAACGCATCACCAGATCTGAATCAACTAGGTAGCTTACTTCAAATATAGACTAGTTGAGAAAGTTTCAAGGTCGCGGTGCAGCAATGCCTGCTAGATCGATTCGGAAATTATTTTCTGTTCCCGCCGTTATGATCAAAGTGAAGGTTGGCACTTTTGTATTAATTCAAAGACTTATCAATAATTACTAAATTTACTTGCCTTCCTTAGGGTAGCTTCATCCACGATCCAAGAATCGAAATCATAGTTCATCAGGAATCACAGAATTCCTGTCACTAAGTATATTCCCACGCTGAAAATCGACGGAGCCTGTGATGCTGAAAAATTGGTGAGTTTCTCGTTCGATTTCGCGAGGATAACCTACCAGTGATCATATTTCACTAGGGTCCGTGATGCTAGAGCCAAATTTTCTCTTTCTTCGTAGATGATCTAATCAGAATGATATAACTGACTATACTTGCCATATACATTGGTACTTTAGGGAAAATTTCACAGACGCCTTCACGACTTTGCTGAAAAACTTGCGAATTAAGCCTTGATGATAGATCGATTCGGTAATAACCTCGCATTTTTCTGATAAAATCAACGGGATTAAAAAGATCAATAAATTATTGAAAGCATTTTCCACGACCTTGTATTTTTGTCGAACATTTTCCGCAGTTTACAGAGAATTATTAGGAGAAATATTCCGTTGCACGAACCTGTTGCGGTAAGATTTTTCCGAGAAGCATTTATCGATGATGGGTTTGTTATCTCGTTAAATTTCGTGTCAATTGAGATGTCAAAAAACAATTATTTTGCATGATAATTATTTGCAATACATTTAACCTTTTTCTTCATTGATCATCATGGTCTGAAACGGCAAGTATGATCACATCACGAAAATATTGGATCAGCGGATATTCCCTTGGAGCTTATATATGAGCGTGAAAGTTCTAGGAAAAATAGACTATACACCTAAATATTATAAACTAATTAATCGCGTCTTCACAAGTCCTTGAAGTGTAACCATAAATATGACATAGGCAAGTATAATTAGTACTTATGTGTGAAATTAAATCGAAAACAAATACTAACTTTTTTACCCTTATATCCAATTGAATTAACCATCCTTGGAATCACTTATTATCGCATCATGTTGAATCCGGTCAATTGTTCCTGCATGTAATTAAATATTACAAATTTTTATTCATACATTAGAATATTTTCTCACTAAATTTCACTGGAAGGCAATTCAACCATCGGGTTTCCGCGGGAATATGACGAAACGGAATCACGTAATCATATAGATCAATCCAAGCGGAAAAATTGTTGTTAAGCAAAAATTTACATCATAAAATGAATTCAGAATTTATTTGCGAACACGGTTTGTTTTTTTACTCATTTTATGTAAAATGTTCACGTCGCACAATGATTATGACGATCAATCGCATGTGACTTAAAATCGCGTCAAATTATTTGGAAAATGAAAAATAGTTTCTCTTCTTTTCGTAGCAATGGATTTCAACTTTGCAAAATTTTACCATCAGCAAAAACTATTGAACACCGAAATCTCGGATTTAGACATTGCCATACTATACCTCTCACAACAAGGTAAGCACGTTTATTATTACTTAACGCGTCTCATTTCAACTTCAGGAAATTTGTTCTTTATACGTCTCCTTGTAAATAACTCTTCTTCTTTTTCACCCAAACGAAACTTTAAGAAACAATGGCAAAAGAGAGCACAAGTCCCGCTAAACCAAAAAAGGTACCAAACCATCCGAAATACGAAGATATGATTCATGGTAGAACTATGGAAGTTGTCTCTTGATTTTTGTTAATTTCAAAAAGAGAACTGACGAAATACTTTAGAATAGGTTTTCTTGATTAGAAAAATAAATAAAAGAAATGCATAAATAACTTTTATTAATTTACGTTATGAATTATAATAATTTTCAGAAGCTATCGTCGCTTTGAAGAACCGTAGAGGAAGCAGGTTATGAAGTTTTTTTTACCGTTTTTCATATGAAAGTCTTTTCTTTCTTACTAATAAGTTTTCACATATTTGTTTCATTTATTATAATAGCCGCCAAGATATTAAGAAGTACATTGTCAATACATATAAACTTCCCGACAACAATGTTACGAAGAACCGTTTCCGATTGGCTGTCAATAAAGGCGTCAAGAATGGACTTTTATTTTTTCCCAATGGTAAGTAAATATGATATTTCTTTCCGTTATATTTTTACATGAACGTGTGTGATTCATTATATATTCTATATATTTATATTAATTATTTATTTAGGCCCAAGTGGCACTATACTTGTAAAAAAACAGATTAAGGAAGAAAAGGAAGAACCCAATGAATACCCTATTTCTTTTCAAAATGGCAAATACATTTGATTTATTTCTTTTATTTTACATAAACTTTTGATTAATTATATAATTCTTTTTTTTTTTTTTTAGGCACAAGTGGCAATATCAAAGTTGTAAAGATTAAGAAAGAAAAGAAAGAATCAAAGAAAAAGAAAAAACTCCGTTATTTCCAAAATGGTAAATAATTTATTTCAATATTGTTTATTTGTCATTTTTACATAAACTTCTGTGATTCATTATATCATCTATTTCTTTAGTCCCAGGCCCAAGTGGTACTATCAAACTTGTAAAGGAAGTACAGATTAAGGAAGAAAAGGAAGAACCCGAGAAAATGGGAAATTCCAGCTCTTTTCAATATGGTAAATACATATAATTTATATTTTATTGTTATATTTGCTATTATGTCATTTTATTTTTTTTTTTTGTTTAGGCTTAAGTGATACTATAAAACGTATGGAAGATGTAAAGATTAAGAAAGAAAAGTAAAAAAAAAAGAAGGAAATTAAATCTAAACAAGACTTAGATTTAAACTAGCAACTATTGATATATGCTAGCTTAGCATTTATATAAAAAGATTTATATATTATATCGGCAGTCATTTTCAAGATTTACTTAAATGATATATTTTAAGTTTAAATTTAATTGTCAAAATATTAACTTTTTTTTATGCAATATATAAAATATACAAATAGATTAGTATTGTTATTTTTTTTATCAATATTAAAAATAAAAACAAATTTATTTGTAAATTTAACCTTTATTTTAATATGTTAAAACTGATATATTACAAATAATACAGAATTAAACTTAATATATATTTTATAAGCAATATTTATGTTTTAAATTCTAAAAAAATCTAATTTAAATTAAATTGTGAAAATTAATCTAATCTGAAAGTTTTAAAATTTTTAGTTTAATCATTTTAAAGAGAATAAATAGAATTAGAATAGAAATTTTTAAAATATTATTCTAATTAAATATAATTATTTACATAATATAATTAATTAAGAATAATACAATTAAAAATTACATAATTATTAATTATATACATTGTTAACGTTACTCTTTCCGTCAAATAAGTTAACTATGATTTGAAGTCAGGAAGACAATAGCTATGACTTAAATCCAATCAACTTGACACACTGTTTATTAGAAAGTTTATTAATTAATAAGAATAAAGTTATAAGTTTTATATTTGCAAAACGTTAAGCTTGTTTATTATTGTAATTAAATGTATATTAAATACAATATTGAGAACTTGTTAGAATCTCATTGGAATCTGTTTTAATCTGTCCTTTTTCTAAGGCATTTTCATGCTCTTTATATAGGAAAATTATAATTAAAGAAAATTTATGGTATTTATGATACTATTGACAATAATAACAGAGCTAACAGATATGCTAATTATGTTAAATATGATATAAATAATAATAATAATAGATATAATAAAGATATAATAAATGATATTCATATCCTATTTGGCAGATTTAGTAGATCTGACATATTTGGCATATATGTCATATTTGACAGGTCTGTCAGTTTCTGCCAGTTTCAACGATTAGATAATATTGATAATAAATTGATCACCCTTGCTAATGAGGTTGTTATAGTAAAAAATAAAATAATATTCTTCAAGAAAATTAAGAGAATATTAACTATCACCTAACTAAATTAGAGAAATGTAATAATATAGTTCATATTAAAGGGATAAATAATAATAAAATAGATTTTGATGATTTTTCTGAACCTCTACCTAATTCTTTATTTAATCAACTGCTAACAACTCTTTTAAATAATATATCTCCTTTAGATAAAGTAATCAGTATTGAAAACTAATTCACTAAGTTCTGTTCAGAAATTAAAAACATCATTAATAATATCTAACAAATCCTTTAAACGCTTTCTTTTTCTTCTAAATAAGTATACATCTAATATTATAAATTCATATTAAATGAATCCTAATAATAATAATATTCTTTTAAATAAAGCTTTTATAAATATTATCAATAATCTAAACCTCATTTCTTTTACAACACATAATGTCAGAAATTGTTTATCAGATTCTAAATTATAAAACATTGATTTCTTTTTTAATAACTTTAATATAGATATATTTAGTTAAGTGAGACGCATCTTAACTTATTATAAGCTTATCATCTTAATAAGAATATCTATAACAAGTCTTTAAATACTACTTTTACTTCTCTAATAATTATCAAAATTGTCAAGGTGTTAGATTGATAATCTGTAATAATCTAAATACACATATTTTTAATTAAACTGAATTTTTTGATTATATTATTTATTTTGATTTTTAATTCAAAAATAAATTCAAACTTTGAATTATTCAAGTATATCTACTTATCTATTATAATAATAAAAAAGATTTTTATTACGTCTTTAAGTCAAAAAAAAATAATAAACATTTTAATAAATAGTTTACATCATAATTTTCATATTGTTTTAATAGAAGATTTCAATATTAATATAAATAGAAGATATAGATTCAAAACCCAAAAACAGTTATAAAATTTCTTACATAATATCCTCAACCTAGACTTTATTCACACTCTTACTTCTTTTTAATCCTCCTACCCTCTTATCTTTCATTCCTCTTCTTCATATGATTCAATTCTCATATTGATTACATTTTACCTCTACTAATCTCTCATATGATCTTACTTTTTTTAACATTCTGATTACCAAAAATAACATAAGATTACAAAATAAATTTTTCTTTATGATAAAATATCCTACCTTTAATAAGACCTTTTCTAATAAAGCTGATCTGTTACTTAAACAAAATGATAAATTTAATAACATTTCTATTCAAAATCTATGCATATTAAATAGTTTATTAATGAAGTTTAGGAATTCTTTATCTAGATAATTATGATATTAGCTTCTAAATACATTTCTAAACAAATCATATTTGCTTACCATAACTTTTTTTTACTCATATTTAAATTTATCTATTTATAAACAAATCAACAAATTCAAAAGTTATACTATCAATACAAAATTTTTCTTTATTCCTATCATTTCTTAATAAACATCCCTCAATAATTTCTATTTTTTCTAATAATCATAAATTTATCCTTAAAACTGCAGCTGAATATTTTATTTCTTCTAGTTCTTTTGATGTTTATTATGATAACAATCGTCTCTTTCCATATCTATATGAACTCAAATATAATATTCTTAGATCATTACAAGCAAAATAACTCATTATTAGTAAAACTAAAAATAATGACTATATTCAAAAGTTTATTTAAAGATACGTAGATAATTTTAAAAATGTTTCTATAAAGATAATTAACTCATTTTTAGTAAAATTATTGTATTAAATAGAGTCTTAGTAAATTATAATACTTAGAATTAATACCTAACTCTCAATTCAGATACTATTAAATTTTATACTGCTAAATATTTTCAAACTATTGCTAGCTTCACAAATAGAATTATCACTGATCTATGTATTGATAATTTTTCTTCAAATTGGCTTATTTGGAAATGTTACTATAATTCTGTTAAAGAAATTTCTAATGATACTTATGATTCTTATAGACCTCCTCTCAATTAATGAATAAAATAATATTATCAAATATTTATTTGATCAAAAATATCTAACCCCTCTAAAATTACTAATAAGTTATTAAAAAAACTCAGTCTAAAGTGTAAAAACTTCCTTTACAATATCATTTATGCATGTTTAATAAATAAATTTACTCTAGTATAATAGAATTTAACCTTTATATATTTGATACCTAAACCTAAACTATAGAACTGCTAACTTGATAATATTAGACCAATTATGCTACTTAAAATAGTTATAAAAGCTTTCATCAAATTACTGAATTAATAGCTACAAGATATATTTATTAAAAATAAGATTATCAAAGGACTTAACTTGCTGGCTTATCACACTAATCGATACTCAAACTTTTGTACATAATTAATAATATTTTAGAGTTTCACTGCTTAAAAAGAAAAATGTCTGAGTATCAAAAATTAAACTTATATATCCTTTTTTAGAATATGTTCAAAACATACGACTGAATTAATATTTTTATGTTATAAAAAGCATTATCTAGATTAAAAATTTCAAATTCTTTTATTACATTCATTACTAATTTATTTCTCAATAAAAAAATAGTACTTTTATGATTTATAGTAATACTGACTTCTATAATATTCTTATTAGCATTGATCATAAAGAAGTTATTTTACTATTACTATAAGTTATCTATTATGATCCTCTCCTCTCTCATATTTAAAAATCCCATTTGGGCTATACACTAGATATTTTATGGTTATCTGATATTAATAAAATGGATATATATAATATTTTAACCTTTATACTTAATTTAATATATATGGATAATACTATTTGGATCACTGATAATCGCTTTAAACTTAGAGACATTTTTAACATAGCTCAGTCCTTTTTTGATCTCAATTCAATACAAGTCAATTTAGAGAAATCCTTCATAGTTACCTCTAAAGCAACCACTAATGATATTTCATTTTATAGTATATATTTAAATAATTCAGTTACTATATTAACAAAGAAATCTAATGAGTTAACTAAATATTTAGGAGTCTGAATTTCAGCTCTATATAACAAAAAATTTATTAAACAATAACTAAAAAATGAGATTATTGACTTCATTCTAAAACTTAATATTAAGTCAATAACAGATAAACAATTAAAATATCTCTATAACTAAGTACTTATTCCTCAGCTTGAATACTGTTCTCAACTAATTATCTTCTCTCAAAAAAATGCTTTATTATATTTTCTTGCATTCGTATTTTTATTAAATATAAACTCAAATTTAACAAATGTACTCTTAACAGTACTTTTTACAACAAATTATCATATAGTTTTAATGATTTATCTTCTAATATGTTATATTCTAAATTATAACACTTTACATTAATTATCAATGAAAATATTTCAAGATCATTTCTATCATTAACTATCAAAATTCATTTCAAACAAGTTCAAATTTTTTCTGATTATCAGATAATCCTATTATATGTTAACCTTCATAATTAAATAATCTAAAATATGATAACTATCTCTGTAATATGCTCATTCTTTATCTTCAGGC